ATGATTGGTCATCATCCTGCCACTGTTAACCAACACTACAATGACTGGTCATCATCCTACAAGTTAATAAACAATACAATGACTTCATGATGACGCTGTAATTATAATGTATACCTAACTCGCACTTAGGACACAAACACCTGGACAGTCCGACTGGTTAAGGTCCAAATCAGACAGAAACATTGTCCCAATTTCCCGTCTCCTATGTCCAGGCCATTTGTCCATTGCTCCAGTTGTGCTATTGTGCCTCTTTATCCCATAGCCACAGTAATAACTATCAGAAATAAATGAGACATTTTTTTAAAGCTATATTGCCAAATATTTGATAAAAAATAACTATTCTCGTTTCTTGAAGAATAAAATAAATAAGGGACATTTTTTGAAGCCATTTTACCAAATACTTGATAAAATAACACAATTATTCTCATTTCTTAAGAAATTAAATGGATTTGAGACATATTTGAAACCATTTTGCCAAACAGATACAGTGGATCCTCGGTATACGACCAGCTCCCTACTCGAACAAAACTCGGCGCTCGACCGAACGAGTACAACCTCCCAGAACTTCACTGTTAAACTGCTTCGTGTTTCTTTACATTTTTCGGCCTTTTTTTTTTGTATTATTTATATAAATAAGTCACCATAGGACCTACGACAATTAGTGATAACAACCAACCAAACCGAAAATTGGTTGGTATGCCTAGTATGGGCCAACAGGCCTCCTGCAGTGCTCCTCCTTTCTTATGTTCTTAATACCCAAACGGAGCGGCACTCGAACAGCCTTCTGAAATGAATTAAGGTCGTATACCGAGGTTCCGCTGTATTCGATAAAAATAACACAGCTATTCTCATTTCTTGAGAAATAAAATGAATTTCTCAACCTAAAAAAATAAAATAGGAAATTTGAAGCCATTTATCCAGTAATGACAAATGTAACATCAAAAAATTCAAATTTTGGGAAATTTTCAATATTTTTAAAGGAAATATTCCCATGCCTAATTTTTTTTTGGGGGGGGGAGGGGGGGAATAGGCTTAAATGGACAAAATAAAATGGCAATATTTGGACAACAAATAAGAAAAACATGCAATGTTACATGTAACTCAAAGTTTTAGATTCAACCACTGTCGACCCTTTGAGGGTCGACAGGCCCTCTCCGAAACTTGTTCTCAGGGTCGGCCAAATTTAAAAAAAAAAAATTATTTTTTCTTATGAAAAGATAGAGAATCTTTTCCTGATCATAATGACACCAAAAGTATGAAATTTGATGGAAAACTTACAGAATTATGCTCTCGCGAAGTTAGCGGTCTTGACGATGTTTACGTATCGCCGATTTTGCCCACTTTGAGCCCTATTTTCGACCAATTCCAATGTACTAGTCGACAAATATCATAACTATTTCGCTAGAACTCCATTTTTTCTATCGAATGAGTACAAGAAACCACCCATTTACTGATTTCAACTATCCAATAAAGTGGTCAGAATTTAGCAATTTTGCCAATTTCACACAAATTTCAAAAGATGCCAATTTCCAAACAGGGTCCAGAATAAACAAAAAAGACATTCCTGGCATTAAAATAACAAGTTCTCTGTTCGTTAGTTACATCCCCAGGCCACTCTTATATTTCTTTGGCTTTCCACTTTGAATTTTTATTCTTACAAAAAATAGAAGATTTATTGTTATGCAGACTACTGCATTAATGTAGAAATAGTATAAATAATATCGGCGCACTTGTGAAAGAATATTAGACTCGCCAGTTGATGTGTATTGGATGCTTGGCATGATTTGTTTACTTTTGAACTTTGATAAAAATCGAACATTTCTGCTACTTTGAGCTCAATTTCAAGGTACCTTTCATTGTAAAACCAGTCAAAATCACCTCAATTTCTGTAATATGTCTTCCATTCTATAAAATGAGATAAAGAAAACTAGAATACAACAATAAATACCATACGAAAATACAGTGCAAAGTCGCTGTTTTATTCCAAAAACACGGTCAATGTTTTTTTTTTCTCATTACGCACTGTGTGCTGCAGGATTTTTTTTATACTGCGCACACTGACCACATAGACCCATTCTTTCATATGTAGGCCTACCAGCTTTCTCTCACTAGATTTGAGGGCGCTAGAATTTAGGTGTACTAGTATGTCAAAAACCCTGGGTCGTAAGCCATACTAGTACGGCCGAAACCCTCAAAGGGTTAACTACTCATAATTAACCCACCTGGGTTAATAATGAATTAACCCACCTGTGTTAATAATGAATTAACCCACCTGTGTTAATAACGAATTAACCCACCTGTGTTAACGAATTAACCCACCTGGGTTAATAATAAATTAACCCACCTGTGTTAATAACGAATTAACCCACCTGGGTTAATAATAAATTAACCCACCTGTGTTAATAACGAATTAACCCACCTGTGTTAATAACGAATTAACCCACCTGTATTAATACCAAATAATTAAACTGTGGCCATTATATTACAAAGCTCTATGTAGCTGCCCAGTTATACAGTAAGCTCTTACAAAGCTCTATGTAACTGATCTGTTGCACAGCTTTTATAAAGCTCTATGGCGGTGCAATCGGTAAATGCGATTGAAAAAGTATAATGAAAATGATATAACACGTGCTATATAATAGTCATGCTATATAAAAGAGCTTTATATAGAGCTGGCTCTATTAACTTGATGACTGATAAATCAGCTATCAATGCACTGAAATGTTACTGCCAACAATTAAAAAATTATCTGGCCTATGACAAAAATAAATCCAAATTTTGAATTCCCTGCAGCTTTTGAAAATTAATTGACCTTAGGCTTCTAAAAAACTTATGAACAAAAGAGTTTCTTCCAAAAAACAAATCTGGTGTGTAAAAAAATCCTTTATCCTTCAAAAACTTTGAAAAAAAAAACTGTATATTATAAAGAATTTATTTATTCAAAGAATCTTCGATGTTTGTTCTGACCATGTTGGATATTGTCCAAATTCTGGACAAAAATACGTCAGTTGTCTTATAAAGTGTCGCTGTAGAGTGAAAATTCTGGACAAAAATACGTCAGTTGTCTTGTAAAGTGTCGCTGTAGAGTGAAAATTCTGGACAAAAATACGTCAGTTGTCTTATAAAGTGTCGCTGTAGAGTGAAATTTCTTGTAAATACGACTGAAAAAAATTGAAAACTGAATAGCAAATTTAAAGGCCAAAATGGTATACACAGCGGTACCTCGAGTTTCACACAGCTCCCAACTCGACCAATTATGTAAGTGTATTATTGCAAGTGCTTTCGTAAGTGTATTTTTGGAGGTCCGAAATGGACTAAGCTAATTTACATTATTCTTTATGGGAACAAATTTGTTCGGTAATGGCGCTCAAACAGCCTTCTGGAACGAATTAATTTCATATCCTGAGGAACCACCGTATATTCAATCCTGGATGCATTTCCTCTGTTTACAAAATTTAAAATCACATTGTACAGAGAAGCTTTATAAGACAGCTGACTGTATTTTTATAAAGCTCCTCAATATATAGTGATTTAGTGTGAATACAAATGAAAAATCTCCATGGAGGGAATGGGTTAGAAGCCTTCCTCTGTAAGCTGTGTGTGCTGTAAGAGGCGACTAAAATATCGGAAGCAAGGTGCTAGTAACACCATCTCCTGTATAAATTACTAAATACATGTACCAGCAGCAAGGGGCTACTAACACCTACATAAATTACTAAATAGCAGGACCAAGGTGCTAGTAATGCCTTTCCTGTGTAAATTACTAAATAGCGAGACCAAGGTGCTAGTAACACCTTTTCCTGTATAAAATACTTAATGTCCCCAGTGTTCAAAATAAACAGAACAATTGAAAAACTACATTCAGAATGAAATACCGTATAAAATGATCACAGTACACAATACCATTCAATTCTGGATTATCTTTTTCAATCTCTTTTACAAAAAATCAAACTACAATGGAACCCCAGATTTCGTCTGGTGCGGATATCGTACAATTCAGATTTCGACCACATTTTTGGGGGAAAATTTATCCCGGGTTTTGTACCTCCACTTGGAAATCATCCATATCAGACATGTCCGCCCGCCCAGGATGTGGGCACTAACACGTACGTGACTCAGTCTGCCTCTGTCACTTGTTCAGTGAGCAATACTTCACATGTTCATGGTGGTAGAGGGTGGTAGTGATGGTGGTAGAGGGTGGTAGTGATGGTGGTAGAGGGTGGTAGTGATGGTGGTAGAGGGTGGTAGTGATGTTGGTAGAGGGTGGTAGTGATGGTGGTAGAGGGTGGGAGTGATGTTTGGGAGAGGGTGGTAGTGATGGTGGTAGAGGGTGTGTGATGTTGGAAGGGTGGTATGAGGTGTAGAGGGTGGGAGTATTGGTGGTAGAGGGTGGTGTTTATGTTGGTAAGGGGGGTATGAGGTGGAGAGGGTGGTAGTGTGTTGGTAGAGGGTGGGAGCAGGGGGTAGAGGGTGGTAGGATTTTAGAGGGGGTAGGAGGGGTAGAGGGCAGTAGGGGTTGGTAAGGGTGGTAGCAATGGGGTAAGGGGGGTAGTGATGTTGGGAGAGGGTGGTAGTGTGTTGGTAAGGGGTAGCGATGGTGGAGAGGGTGGTATGATTTGGTAGAGGGTGGGAGTGTGGTGGGAAGGGGGAGTGAGTTGGTAGAGGGTGGTAGCAATGGTGGGGGGAGGGTGGGGTGATGTTGGTAGAGGGGGTAGTGATTTGGAAGGGGGGTAGTGTGTTTGGGAGGGTGGTAGTGATGGTGGTAGAGGGTGGTAGTGATAGTGGTAGAGGGTGGTAGTGATGTTGGTAGAGGGTGGTAGTGATGGTGGTAGAGGGTGGTAGTGATGGTGGTAGAGGGTGGTAGTGATGGTGGTAGAGGGTGGTAGTGATGTTGGTAGAGGGTGGTAGTGATGGTGGTAGAGGGTGGTAGTGATGGTGGTAGAGGGTGGTAGTGATGGTGGTAGTGATGGTGGTAGAGGGTGGTAGTGATGTTGGTAGAGGGTGGTAGTGATGTTAGTAGAGGGTGGTAGTGATGGTGGTAGAGGGTGGTAGTGATGGTGGTAGAGGGTGGTAGTGATGGTGGTAGAGGGTGGTAGTGATGGTGGTAGAGGGTGGTAGTGATGTTGGTAGAGGGTGGTAGTGATGTTGGTAGAAGGTGGTAGTGATGGTGGTAGAGGGTGGTAGTGATGGTGGTAGAGGGTAGTAGTGATGGTGGTAGTGATGTTGGTAGAGGGTGGTAGTGATGGTGGTAGTGATGTTGGTAGAGGGTGGTAGTGATGGTGGTAGAGGGTAGTAGTGATGGTGGTAGAGGGTGGTAGTGATGGTGATAGAGGGTGGTAGTGATGGTGGTAGAGGGTAGTAGTGATGGTGATAGAGGGTGGTAGTGATGGTGATAGAGGGTGGTAGTGATGGTGGTAGAGGGTAGTAGTGATGGTGGTAGAGGGTGGTAGTGATGGTGAGGCCTATGGTGATGTGACTGTGTTGCCATAGGGGCCCTTAGAAGTGTGGAGTTTCTGCAACTTGTTCCAGGCAAGAAACTGCAACCATCACACTCGTTCCAGGCAAGAAACTGCGACTTTACCTGTTCCAGTCAAGTATCTGGTAGAGACACTACACAGACCAACTTTATTACCCAGTAATACATCCCACAATAGTAAAACAATACTCCATACAAGGACGCTTTACTTAGTGTGGCATAATAAAGCTCAACACTAATACAGTATATCCCAGTAAGATAGTCACGATAGTAAGTCAACAATGCATGTTGCAGTGTTGCATAAGAAAGATAAATTCACTGGGCAACACATGAGAATAAACACATGCTAAGTGTGTATTTTATTACCATCAGGAACACTAGTCTCTGTTAATAGAGTAACAGGCATCTGTTTTTATGGTACAAAATCAATGTTTATGGGACAAAACCCAATGTATGGGACAAAATCAATTTTTATGGTACAAAATCAATGTTTATGGGACAAAACCCAAAGTATGGGACAAAATCAATTTTTATGGTACAAAATCAAAAAAGGACAATAATGTGGCACAAAATGAAGTTTTCTTTATGGAACAAATTTGAAATAATCCCAAAAGGAGAGAAAATTAAAGATGTTAATGTTAATTTCGTGAGATAAAAGCAAGTTCAATGTGGACAAATCTGCTAATGGCTACAATAACATGTTAAAATATTTAACAGGTTAAATTTATGCACTAATCATTTTAGAATGATGAATGTGCATCGCCTGGTGATGAATGTGGGCTGAATGGTGATGAATGATAGCCCGAGAATGAGTACCTAACTGTCGACTGTTTTTTCTTCTTGTATTCATAGTCGGAGGAGTCGGAGCTCGACACGATTCTTTTTCTCTTCCTGGATCTTTTACAGCTCTGCTCCGATGATTCTGTGTCTGATTCTGAAGAACTTATCTTGTATGTGGCTTTTTTGGACTTGACCTTTCTCTTATGCTTGCTTTTCTTGCTCTTTTTGCTCTTTTCGGCCTTATGACGGTCCTTGGTCTTCCGCTTTCGTTTTCTACTGGAATGCTTAGATTTCGAACTGGTGTAGTCAGTTTTCCAGTCCTTGTAGCATGAGTCTTTGGAGTTGCTGGATGATTCTCTACTCTGGCTATCCCAACTCTGTTCCTGCCAGGATGATGTACTCTCTGTCTTGCTTGATGGGGGAGTCAGAAGGCGGTCAGAATTGGACCACTCTTCACTGGAACTATCAGAAACATGGTAGTTGGTAAAACTGTTTCTTGTGCGAGTATCATGCCTAGAGTTCGATCTCAACGAACTTTTGATCTTAGAACGGTGATCCTTCCTCGCATGTCTGCCCGATGAGTTCCGCTCCTTCAAAGGGGATTTCACCCTATGTCTAGAGTAATTGGAACTACAAGGATCATCTCTGCTCTTACTGGTGTGCTTTACTTTAGTGCCAGTCTTTTCTTCACATAAATGCTTCCTACTCTCTACATTCTGAAAATTAGAATCGCCATTTGAGGATACAAATGTATTCTTTTTCTCCGTTAATTTTTCATTAGAACTAGTCTTAATGTCTTTGTATTTACATTGCAAACTCTCGATATTTTGATAACTCGACTCATCATTTGAGGAAAGACTTATATTTACGTTTTCACTTTGTTTATCTTTCTTTTTCACACTTAATACTGGGTCAAGATTCTTCGAACTTTTATGCCACTTAAGTGAAATTTCAATGGAAGATGTCTGAACAGATTCTGAACGATCGTTCGAGGTGGAGGCTTCGACACTGGCTGATTCGTTGTCGTCACAGTAGCTGTGGTCTTCTTTAGCTGTTCTCCTGATGGAAGATCCACTACAACTGGGTTCGCTCAGCGGAAGAGGGAAGTTGGTCCTCTTGAGGGTTGGTTTCCTCCGCCCCTTTTTGTGTTGATTTGAAGAAAGATTGGAACTGCTGCTGCTGCCTTTGTCTCTAATAAAATCCTGGCTAATTTTTTTCTTCCAGTGATTATCTTTTTCTTTGAATGATGGTGTGTGTTGTTCAGCTCTGTCACTATCACGGAATCTCTTACCATGATGATGCTTCTCTTTAGACGATGCTTCGAGTTCTTCATCCTCATCACTCTCTAAGTCAATTATCTCTGGGGTCTTCTGTCTTTTTTTAACCTCTTCGATGACAATGCAGCTGTCGGACTGTTCACTGTCTGAGGACACCTCGGTTTTTAGTGTGCTGTTTGCATGTTGCTGCTGTGTTGCACGGTTTTCTTCTGATCTTGATGTTGATGCTCCCTCATTGATTGTGCTGAGGAAGTCTTTGGTACGGCCTAGTAAGCGAGTCATGCTGCATGTTTCAGGTGGTTCAGGATTGTGCGTCTCTGAAAAGTCTGGCTGCGTTGGCGTTGAAGGTACAGCCACAGCTGCCGACTGTTGCGTTGCTGGATATTCAGCATCATCACTTTCACTGCTAGAACTGGAACTTGAACTGGAACTGTCATCACTGCTGATCACAACAGATCCTTCCTGAGTTAAAGTCTCTACCCTCGCCACGAGTGCACCAGCTCCTGCAGGACCCTGGCGAGTCTCTACTCCAGAGTTAGCGCTCACGGGATTTCCGCGCATGTCCACCTCGACCACTGCATCGCTGTCATCCGAACTGCTGCTGCTGCTCTCATCTTCGTTAAAACCATATCTTGGGACGTATTGAGCTGCATTGTCGTGGCCAACCATGTCATAGGGGGAGAGAGCAAAGTGGTAGAATTCATGGACAAAGTGATTTGTGCGCCTTCCAAGATGCACTTGCATTGCACGTCGAAATTCTCGGGAATTGATGGAATATCTGACGATAAGATCCATGACTTCGGCAAGAACTACACCAACTCTGGAGGATGGCAAAAGAGCTGCCAGCTCACGATTTACCCAAGGTACCAGGCGATGCGTGAGTGCAGGTTGTTCCCGATATAAATCGGGAGAGCTCTGTCGATAACTACCTGTAATATCTGCTATAGGCTGCACCCATACGTTGTTGAGATAAACACTGAGACGAAACATAGATGAACCCCTGAGATTGAACCTAGAAGGTCTACGTTCACGTGGACCAGAAGGAATGGCATCGGGAATGGCTTGGGGGCGCCCGGGATACAGATGACGCAGCGTAGCAGCGCCGGGGAAATTAGTTGTCCGATACCCAAAGAATCTACGCCTTTCCGCATCAAGAAACTCCTGAAAATTGGCGATTCCCTGGTTTCGTTCCGGTGGGTCAGGCCTCGGCACTTTCCATTCCTTATACTCACTTTCAGATTTGATGTCGTACATTATAATTGTAAAACTTAGTTTACAAAGAGGACAAACAGCTTTCTGTTTTGACCATTCTTTTAGACATACCAAACAAAAGCCATGTAGACAAGAATTAGCCACGCACTTGTCAGTGATATGGCTAAGACATATGGGACATGTGTCATCGGAAATGGGTGACCCTTCGCTTGGAGGTCTCTCTGGGGTACGCGAGCCAGAGGGACTCTTGTTGACAGATGGACATGTGGACATGCCAGACTCCATTGCTGTGTTGGTACCTGTGTCTTGCGCACTCTCGCTAGGAGACGACATTGCAGATCAACTGAAAAATTACGACTAATCAGCGATGAATAAAAATCATGAGAAATAAAAGACAAAAAATTCACAAATAACCCACAATACCATGACTGGAACAATTCACAAACAACAATACTATGGCTGGAACAATTCACAAACACGCTGCGCACAGGTGAGAAAACAGGAAAACAGGTGTGGAGGAAGGAGGGGAAGTAAGCAGTAGTATTAATAGTAGAAGTATTAATAGTAGTAGTAGTAGTATTAATAGTAGTAGTAGTAGTAGTATTAATAGTAGTAGTAGTAGTAGTAGTAGTAGTAATAGTAGTAGTAGTAGTAGTAATAGTAGTAGTAGTAGTAGTAATAGTAGTAGTAGTAGTAGTAATAGTAGTAGTAGTAGTATTAATAGTAGTAGTAGTATTGATAATAGTAGTAGTAGTATTTATAATAGTAGTAGTAGTGGTATTAATAATAGTAGTAGTAGTACTAGTAGCAGCAGCAGTCAGTAGTCCATCCTGGACTATTGTAGTAATAGTAGTAGTAAAAATAATAACAGCAGCAGTAGTAGTGGTAGTTAGAAGTCCATTCTAGACTATCATAAAGTAACACTTATATGCTTAAATCCCATTTTCTTTCTAACTACAAGATAAACTGATAAATATGTTCACACGATGCATAAAATAAATAAATACTACCTATAAATGCTGATAAACATTCACGGATGCATGCCAGTGAATTATACACACAAACGACATATGCAATAAGCAGTGATGGGCACAGTTCTGCTAACCGCTAATTAGCGGAAGTAACTTTTTGTTTAGTGGATTAGCGTTTACGCTAACTTCGGAAATGCTAATCAATTACCTTCTGCTAAATAAAGTTCCACTAACTTTGAGTCTGCTACAGAAAAATCATACGTTGTTGGTAGTCAGAAAGCAATGCCTTTTCAAAGACGCATGTGTTTGCTCCTATCTGTTGTGGGCGTTTCTCGAACAGTCAGTCTGGCACGATATTGGGTGACTACGTGTAAACGTGATTTGTCAATGCAGCATCAGCAGCATCTGAGCAGCACTGTCATAGTCTTACAGTGTCAGCGATAACTGGGGTGCGCTGTTACTTATCACTATGAACAGGGGAGACGTTTCTGTTCCGCACGAGGGTGTTGTTGAGGAGTCGGCAGTAACATATCGTTATCAGATTGTAGTGAAGGAAAAGTTACTTAACCCGTAAACGGTCCAAGCAGATCTACGTTCACATGCGTAGTGCTACAAAAGTAGATCAAAGTTTTTTACACATTTTCAAATGTAAAAAAAAAACAAAAAGATCTACTTTCAAATGTTGAAAAAACGTATATACAGCGGACCCCCGGTTAACGATATTTTTTCACTCCAGAAGTATGTTCAGGTGCCAGTACTGACCGAATTTGTTCCCATAAGGAATATTGTGAAGTAGATTAGTCCATTTCAGACCCCCAAACATACATGTACAAACGCACTTACATAAATACACTTACATAATTGGTCGCATTCGGAGGTGATCGTTATGCGGGGGTCCACTGTATACGTTTGGACCGTTTACGGGTTAGGTACAGTGCTCAAGTAGTTTTAATTGGTTGCTTCACAACACTGGTACTTATACACGAGTATTAACTCTTAAACGGTCCAAACAGATCTACGTTCACATGCGTAGCGCTCCAAAAGTAGATCTACGTTTTTTACATATGTTCAAATACAAAAAGAAAACGTAGATCAAAGTTTTTTTACACATTTTCAAATGTGAAAAAAACAAAAAGAAGATCTACTTTTTTTTACATACTTTTAAATGTCGAAAAAACATAGATCTACGTTTGGACAGTTTAAGGGTTAAAGATGAGTACTGTTTGCAACACTGTCCTTTCTATTAGCCTAAAAAATTTAGAAAATTTCACTTTTTATCAGTTTCCTTTATTTTAGGTTAATTTTGTCTCATTAAAACCTTATATCTTATTAGGAAACTCTCCATGTCTGTTCTAAAAGTCTTGAAAAGACCAAACAACTAGACCGAATCTGAATTCACGTCAAAAAGTAAGTGTCTAGCGTCTTCTTCTTTCTTCTTTCAACGTACCAGCCGTATCCCACCGAGGCGGGATGGCCCAAAAGAAAAAATTGAAGTTTCTCCTTTTAAATTTAGTAATATATACAGGAGAAGGGGTTACTAGCCCCTTGCTCCCGGCATTTTAGTCGCCTCTTACGACACGCATGGCTTACAGAGGAAGAATTCTGTTCCACTTCCCCATGGAGATAAGAGGAAATAAACAAGAACAAGAATTAGAAAGAAAATAGAAGAAAACCCAGAGGGGTGTGTATATATATGCTTGTACATGTATGTGTAGTGTGACCTAAGTGTAAGTAGAAGTAGCAAGACTTACCTGTAATCTTGCATATTTATGAGGTGTCTAGCGTCAGCTTCCACTAATTTTTTCGGCCATTTAGCGGTTTAGCTTTAGTGGAGCTAACGTTTTAGTTAGCGGTTTAGCGGTTAGCCAAGCTAACTTTTTGGTTAGCTGTGCCCACCATTGGCAATAAGTATTAAGAGTATTAAATAAGTATTAAATGAAAGGAAGCGAGGAGAGGGCGTACCTCACCATACAGAACCCGCACTGAAGGTGGCACTGTCGTTGTTCAGTTCTCATAGAGCTGAAATCGTGAACGACTCTATACACATCATGCAGTACATGTCTTGCATGCCATACTGCACTCTGTAAAGGAATAATAATGGTAGTGGTAATAATAATAATAATAATTAAAGTGATAGTGATAATAGTAATAATCATAATAGTAATAATAATAGATGTGATAATAGTAATAATAATAAAAGTAATAATAATAGTAATAACAGTAATAATAATAACAGTAATAACAGTACACAAATAACTAGCACATAGAAGAGAGGAGTTTATGACGACGTTTTGGTCCGACTTGGACCATTTACAGTGTGACTTTGTAAATGGTCCAAGTCAGACCAAAACGTCATCGTAAACTCCTCTCTTTTATGTGCGGGTTATTTGTGTATTGTTCCAGTCACGGTATTGTGCCTTTTTTGTTATTTAGTAATAACAGTAATAGTAAAAATAATAATACAATATTATAATAGTAATAATAATAGTAATACTACATAATAATAGCAATAATAATAGTAATACTACATAATAATAGCAATAATAATAGTAATACTACATAATAATAGCAATAATAATAGTAATACCATATAATAATAGCAATAATAATAGTAATACCATATAATAATAGCAATAATAATAGTAATACTACATAATAATAGTAATACGTAATATTAATAACAATATAATAATAGTAATAATAATAGTAACAATATAATAGATATAATATAACAATATAATAATAGTTATAATAATAGTAACATAATAATAATAATAATAATAATAATAATATTAATAATAATAATAATAACAATAATACAGCGGAACCTTGGTTTTTGTATGCCATAGTTTGTGTGTAAAACTATAGTTATTCTCTATAAAATGTATTTTTTGTTAATATTTTTGGGTGTCTGGAATGGATTAATTGAATTTACAGTAGACCGTTGTTTAACATGGTAGCCACGTTCCTGAAAATGCCGTGGTAGTTAAAACTGTGTTAGACAAACTGTAGAACTTATGGGAAAAATAGGGTTACGTTCCTGGGAGCCTCAAAAAGCCAAACAGCTTTTTTTTTAAAAAACAAACCATACCACGGGCGGGATTTGAACCCGGGGTCAGAGAGTCTCAAAACTCCAGACCATCACGTTAGTCTCTCTGACCGCGGGTTCAAATCCAGCATGTGGTATGGTTTGTTTGCAATCGTGTCATTACGATTTCGTAAGCTTTTTTTTAGACCAACAGATCTTACAAAAAAAAAGTTAATTGTACTTCATTGTCGTGATGTATTATTTTGTTTTTACTGCTTAAGACTACAAATGCAACAGAAATAATAGTACAGTGGACCCTCGACTAACGATATTATTTCATTTCAGACGTCTGTTCGGGTGCCATTGCCGACCGAATTTGTTCCCATAAGGAATATTGTGAAATAGATTAGTCCGTTTCAGACCCCCAAAAATTCACGTACAAAAGCACTTACAAAAATACACTTACATAACCGGTCGAGTTGCGAGCTGATCGTTAGTCGAGGGTCCACTGTATTTCTTACCTTAAATTGTGGGTGCTGGTGTTTGTGGATGATTGTGGAGAGTGGAGGGTTATGTTGTGGCCCTACTGGGCTGAGGTGGATAGTAGAGGTTCTGGTACTCAAGTTGATGGTTGTACACGAGTGTTCATAAACAAGTCAAGTCAGTAAGTCAGTTAGTCAAGTCAGTAAGTCAAGTCAGTCAAGTTAGTAAGTCAGTCAAGTTAGTAAGTCAGTCAAGTCAGTCAAGTTAGTAAGTCAGCCAGTCAGTAAGTCACTCAGTCAAGTAAATCAGTCAGTAAATCAGACAGTAAGTAAGTCAAGTAAATGAGTTAGTAAGCCAGTCAGTAAATCAGTCAAGTCAGTAAATCAGTCAAGTCAGTAAGTCAATCAATCAGTAAGTCAATCAGTCAGTAAGTCAATCAATCAGTAAGTCAGTCAGTCAGTCAAGTAAGTGAGTAAACCAGTCAGTCAGTACTTCAGTCAGTCATCACACAAACTCATAATTACTCACATTTACCTAGCAGAGGATGGTCGGCGACGTTCCAAATTTTTTCCCCTCCCGCAAACTGAACCGTGTAAAGTGAATTCTCCGAAGTGTTGTACAAAAATAGTGCGCAAGTCTTCAACATTGCTATAACCAAAACATACCAAACAAAACCATGTTAAATGACGGTCTACTGTACATTATTTCTTATGGGAAATACAGTGGACCCCCGCCTAACGATCAGCTCCCAACTCGACCAATCATGTAAGTGTATTTTTGTAAGTGCTTTTGTAGGTGTATTTTTGGGGGTCTGAAATGGACTAATCTAATTCACAATATTTATTATGGGAACAAATTCGGTCTATAACGGCACTCAAACAGACTTCTGGACTGAAATAATATTGTTAGGCGGGGGTCCACTGTATTAACAAAAAGTACATTTTATAGAGAATAACTATAGTTTTGCATACAAACTAGGGCATACAAAAACCGAGATTCTGTTGTAGTAATAATATAATCTAAACTATCTTATTTGGGGACCTCTGCAAAGATAGTGATTGTGTGAATGATGGTGAGAGTGTTTCTTTCTTTTCTGAGTCACCCTGCCTCAGTGGGAGACGACTGAAGTGTTGAAAAGAAAAAGGTATGACAGTAATAATAATGACAGTTGATTCAGAGATTCAGAGGAGAAGTTGCAAAGGTTGGTGGAGGAATTTGAAAAGTGTGTAACAGATGGAAAAAAAAAGTGAACATACGAAAGCGCAAGGTATACCTGGAGTATACCCAGAGAAGGTTCGGGGAATCAATGCCCCTGCGGTGTGGTTCGAAACCGGGCTTCGTGGTGGATCAGGGTCTGATCGACCTGGTGTTACTGTTGGCAGCACGTAAATCGACGTATGAACCACAGCACAGCTGATTAGGTACTGACTTTAGGTGCCTGTCCAGGTGATGAGAGTAACAAATAGAGTAGGCAATGAATGATTGGATAATAAGCTGGAGGGAGGGAGGGAGGGAGGGAGGAAGAGAAGAGCATAAATCTGGGCTGGAAAGAGGGGTAGGGGTCACCTCAAGAAGGGATCAAGTGATGGGTTAAAGAGGCTTTGAGTATTATGGGCTTGGGCATCCAGCGGGCTCGTGTGAGCATGTTACATCAGTGAGAAGACGTATGATTTTTAATGCTTGATCTGATGGAGAGTGAGCAAGATGATACTTGTGAAGGATTCAGAGAACCAGTTAGCCAGACTTAGAGTCCTGGAAGTGGAAAGCACAGTGCAACGATCTTGCAGTGTAGAGGGGCATCTAGACTGTAATGTCAACATATATTTGGCAAGACAGTGATTAAATGATGGCAAATGTACAGTGCTTAATTCAATGTACAGACCTGATTCAAGGAATTGGAGCACAGGTCCAATATCTCAGCAGCATCAAGGAACCTTCCTTGAGGGGAAGTGGAACAGAATTCTTCCTCCGTAAGCCATGCGTGTTGTAAGAGGCAACTAAAATGCTGGGAGCAAGGGGCTAGTAACCCCTTCTCCTGTATATATTACTAAATGTAAAAGGAGAAACTTTCGTTTTTCCTTTTGGGCCACCCCGCCTCGGTGGGATACGGCCGGTGTGTTGAAAGAAAGAAAGACTTTATTTACAAGCTCATAGCTTGTAAATAAAGTTAGGGCACGCCTCTGGCAAGACAGTGATGGAGTGAGTGATGGTAAAAGTGTTTCTTCTTTTTTAGGTCATCCTGCCTCAGTGGGAAGCAGCCAGTGTGTTAACAGAAAAAAATAATGTATCTTACTTGGAGACTGCAGAGAGATGTGCAACACTGTGGTTGATCATGCAAGATGTTGCAGTGCTTGGATCATCCAGTGTGTCCTAGTATCATCTAGTGTGTCCTGGCTGTATCATCTAGTGTCTTCCTGTATCACAACCATCCAGCTAAAAGCAATACATACATTAGTATTATACACACAAAGAATACACCAAGTCTGTGTGGTGATAAACCACTACTGACACATAACTTACAACACTGAAAATTAAATCAACAGAACTGTCAACATATTGATGGCTTGCAATGACGACTTATGCTATACAAGAGGATAATACAGTGGACCCCCGCATAACGATCACCTCCCAATGCGACCAATTATGTAAGTGTATTTATGTAAGTGCGTTTGTACGTGTATGTTTGGGGGTCTGAAATGGACTAATCTACTTCACAATATTCCTTATGGGAACAAATTCGGTCAGTACTGGCACCTGAACATACTTCTGGAGTGAAAAAATATCGTTAACCAGGGGTCCACTGTATACACAAAACAGATTACTGAAGTATACAAAAATAGGACATACAAAAATATACTCACGCAGTTAAAATCGAATACTGAACAGGATTAGAAGTGTATATTTCAATAACAGACTGCATAAAATATATACAGGAGGCCGTTTGTATGGCTGTAAGGTTCACGAGCCCAAACGATAAAAAAAAAAAAAAATCACATTCATAAAAAAGTCTGATAATGTGATTAAACTATTATATATTAAGTGCAGCAGGAACCCCCATATCTGTGGATTGAGCATCCACAGTTTCAGTTATCCGCTGTTTGCTGTGGTCCAAAAATACCCTTAATTTTGCTTAATAACGGCCCCCGAGTGCAAAAGAAGTGATGGTGGAAGTTCTTCAAAGTCTAAGAGAGGCCATAAAATGCTTCATCAGTAAAAAGGTGCTAATACCACACTTATTTTACATAATTTATTGATTAAGCTTTATCATATCTATGTACGTAAACAAAAAATGACTTATATACACATAAGGTTTGCTACTACTCATGGTTTCAAGTATCCACGGTAGATCTTGGAATGTATCCCTCGAGGATACGGAGAGATTACTGTACTCAATACGGCACTTTTTCTACTGATGGTAAGCACTTTAAGGCTTCTCTTAGGTTGTGCAAGACAGGTATACAATACCGACAACCACAGTGCTCTAAACACCACCTCCAAGGCTGAGGGACTGATCACCTCATCTTTTGTATATAGTTCTTCTGATTTCTAATTATGTCCAAGAATCTGTATTGATAAAGCCACTGGATGGCGAAACGTCTACAATAAAGATAACTTGACGTGCTGTTGGAGTGTGAGCAAAGTAACATTTATGAAGGGGTTCAGGGAAACCGGCAGGCCGGACTTGAGTCCTGGAGATGGGAAGTACAGTGCCTGCACTCTGAAGGAGGGGTGTTAATGTTGCAGTTTAAAAACTGTAGTGTAAAGCACCCTTCTGGCAAGACAGTGATGGAGTGAATGATGGTGAAAGTTTTTCTTTTTCGGGCCACCCTGCCTTGGTGGGCACCCTGCCTTGGTGACCACCCTGCCTTGGTGGACACCCTGCCTTGGTGGCCACCCTGCCTTGGTGACCACCCTGCCTTGGTGACCACCCTGCCTTGGTGACCACCCTGCCTTGGTGGACACCCTGCCTTGGTGACCACCCTGCCTTGGTGACCACCCTGCCTTGGTGGACACCCTGCCTTGGTGGGCCACCCTGCCTTGGTGGACACCCTGCCTTGGTGACCACCCTGCCTTGGTGACCACCCTGCCTTGGTGACCACCCTGCCTTGGTGACCACCCTGCCTTGGTGACCACCCTGCCTTGGTGACCACCCTGCCTTGGTGACCACCCTGCCTTGGTGGACACCCTGCCTTGGTGACCACCCTGCCTTGGTGACCACCCTGCCTTGGTGACCACCCTGCCTTGGTGACCACCCTGCCTTGGTGACCACCCTGCCTTGGTGACCACCCTGCCTTGGTGACCACCCTGCCTTGGTGACCACCCTGCCTTGGTGGGAATCGGCCAGTGTGATAATAAATAATAAAAAGTTAACCAGATGTCGCACAAGTGTCTTAACTCTCAGCTTCTCTTAGGTTTTGAAGAACTGTCATCAACACTACTCTTGTGCTTTGGGGTCATTATTGAACAAAATTAAGGGTTATTTTTGGGCCACAGTAGACCATGGATAATGGAAACCCAATTTATGGATACAGGGGTTCTACTGTATGTGTAAAAACAGTCAAATTTTTATTCTCTTAAAACCACACTAAAAATAAGAGGCAAAGCAGTGGCAAATTACAAAATCTAGAATTAAAATACTGTATAAAATCTGAAACAAAAAAAAAAAGAGTAAAAGCAAGTTACCAAACAGGGAAGATGAATTCGGCATCGAAATTCAATCCAGCGCATCCACGTTTTGAGGCCACGACCCAACTGTTAAAATTTTGGTAAAAACTGAAGGTCGTCGTACCGCCACGTCTGGTGCAGAAACCCTAAGCTGCAACAATAAAGGAACTATATAAGATCAGCCTGATGTGGGTTTTATGCAAAAAAATGTGATGATAAGTCTATGAAATATGAATAAGAAATTCAGTAGTAATATTAACATGTGTGGATTAGTTTAAGTCAGGTAAGATATGTTATTTCATCCATAACATCACAATGATAACTTTCACACAAAAATCATAAGAAATGTCACTTTAAACACATAATGGAGGGAGACGGCCAGCATCTTATATTTTTTTATTATACAGTGGACCCCCGCTTAACGATCACCTCCCAATGCGACCAATTATGTAAGTGTATTTATGTAAGTGCGTTTGTACGTGTATGTTTGGGGGTCTGAAATGAACTAATCTACTTCACAATATTCCTTATGGGAACAAATTCGGTCAGTACTGGCACCTGAACATACTTCTGGAGTGAAAAAATATTGTTAACCGGGGGTCCACTATATACAGGAAATCCACACTTAATAACATACCTGTTTAACGACCACTCAGACTTCCGACCAGCTGTCCAACCAGTGTGCAACCCTAATATACAGTGGAACCTTCGTATATGACCTTAATTCATTCCAGAAGGCTGTTTGAGTGCCGTTCCGTTTGAGTATCAAACAAGTTCTTCCCGACCAATTCTCTGTTTGACTGGCTGTTATCACTAACCATCATAGGCCCCATGGGGACTTATTTATACAAATACAAATTATTATTATTATTATAATCAAGGGGGAAGCGCTAAACCCGGAGGATTATACAGCGCCTGGGGGGGATGTGGAAGGCATTCAGGCTTAATTCGGGGAACTGGAGCACAGATCCAATTCCCTAAATCAAGAGCCCCTCACCAACATCAAAGAACCTTCCTTGAGGGGATACAAAAAAAAAAAAAAAAAAAAAAGCGAAGAAACAAAATCATTTACAGTAAAGTTCTAGTAGGCTGTATTTGTTCGGTCGAGCGCTGAGTTTTGTTCGGTCGAGCGCTGAGTTTTGTTCGGGTAGAGAGCTGGTCATATACCGAGGTTCCACTGTATATTAGAGATGATTTTCTCTATTCTGCTTATTACAGTAAACTACTGTATAAACATTTTAAAATACACTAAACGTGTTATAAATAATATAAAAACATTAAAACATTATCTTAAGACGACACAAACGCACCACCAGTTGGCGCCGTGCTTCACCGACAGTTTGTTTACCAACTCTTAGGAACGGAACTCCGTCGTTAACTGAGGAGACGAGATATATATAATATATATATATATATATATATATATATATTTATATATATATATATATATATATATATATATATATATATATATATATATATATATATATATATATATATATATATATATATATATATATATATATAGAACACTAAACCCACAGGGGTCATACATCACCGGGATGATGGGGAGTAATGCTGATTTAATCCATTAAAAGACCAGAGCTCCAATTCCTTTGATCAAGACCACAATTATAGACAATTATAAACCATATATATATATATATATATATATATATATATATATATATATATATATATATATATATAGCACAATTATAAATAATTATCTGCCATAATTATACATAATTATAGAGCACAATTATAATTATAGATCACAATTATAATTATAGATCACAATTATACATAATTATAGAGCACAATTATACATAATTATAGAGCACAATTATACATAAATATAGAGCACAATTATACATAATTATAGAGCACAATTATACATAATTATAGAGCACAATTATACATAAATATAGAGCACAATTATACATAATTATAGAGCACAATTATACATAAATATAGAGCACAATTATACATAATTATAGAGCACAATTATACATAATTATAGAGCACAATTATACATAATTATAGAGCACAATTATACATAATTATAGAGCACAATTATACATAATTATAGAGCACAATTATACATAATTATAGATCACAATTATACATAATTATAGATCACAATTATACAATTATAGATCACAATTATACATAATTATAGATCACAATTATACAATTATAGATCACAATTATAGCCTCGTGTGACAAGTTATAGACACGTATAATATTAAATCCAAATTATCTCCCTATAATACAAACTCTGGGGCGACCACGTCAAGATTATACATAATTATCAACACACATAATTATACGCACCTGAGACAAATTATAGAACCTAAAATAACGGAAAATTAAAAAATAATTCACCCCAAAAAAACTCAAGTTGGGGATAATTAAGCAGAATTTAGAGCAAATAAGTCAGACTAACACGTAATTATAGGCAATTATAGACAACCAGAGTAACTTATAGACGATTATAGCCACCTGGGAGAGTCCAAGTAGGCCTAAATGAGGCCTAGGGAGGTCAAATAAGGAGCAGCAGCAGCAGCAACACGACTTTGTTTACTTTTCTCTCTCAGGGGTAACATCTTACGTATTTTTTTTATATGTTAATAAGTAAATAAGGAAATAAGTAGGTAAGTAGGTTTATTTAGGCATAGGTAGGCTGAGTGTAATTATCGTTGGTTGGGGAAATTCAGGAGAATAATGAAAATAAATGTTTGGTAAAGTGGATTATTTATTCTGTATTTTTATCGTTATTTCTCGTTGTTTTTCTTATTTTTTCTTGTTATTGTTCTTATTTTTGTCTTCCCGTTCTTATTTTCTCGTATTATTGTTCTTATTTTATTTTCCTGTTCTTATTTTCTCTAGTTATTGTCCTTATTTTGTCTTCCTGTTCTTATTTTTCTTGTTATTGTTCTTATTTTTGTCTTCCCGTTCTTATTTTCTAGTATTATTGTTCTTATTTTACCTTCCAGTTCTTATTTTCTCTAGTTATTGTCCTTATTTTGTCTTCCTGTTCTTATTTTTCTTACTATTGTCCTTATTTTGTCTTCCTGTTCTTATTTTTCTTAATATTGTCCGTATTTTGTCTTCCTGTTCTTATTTTTCTTACTATTGTCCTTATTTTGTCTTCCTGTTCTTATTTTTCTTAATATTGTCCGTATTTTGTCTTCCTGTTCTTATTTTTCATACTATTGTCCTTATTTTGTCTTCCTGTTCTTATTTTTCTTGTTATTGTCCTTATTTTGTCTTCCTGTTCTTATTTTTTCTTGTTATTGTCCTTATTTTGTCTTCCTGTTCTTATTTTTTCTTGTTATTGTCCTTATTTTTTCTTCCTGTTCTTATTTTTCTTGTTATTGTCCTTATTTTGTCTTCCTGTTCTTATTATTCTTGTTATTGTCCTTATTTTGTCTTCCTGTTCTTATTATTATTATTATTACGATTATTCGCTTATTCCTTCTCTTATTTCCTCAACTTCAATGTTGAGCTGACAGTCGCTGTCAGCAGTCAGACAGCAACAGTCTGACAAGTTATGGTCAAGGATGCTGTTGGTGTCATCATCCCGTGTGACTGATCTCCAAGTTAGAGATCAGTGACTGACGGTACATGACTCCCCTGTGGACTCGATCCTCCGTCTGTTTGTGTTCGTAATTCTGTGTCTGATGGAAGGTGTAGGATAACCCAGGGGAGGGTTAGCAACCCAGGGAGGGTTAGCCACCCAGGATAACCCAGAGGAGGGTTAGCAACCCAGGGGAAGGATAGCCACCCTGGATAACCCAGGGGAGGGTTAGCAACCCAGGGGAGGGTTAGCCACCCAGGATAACCCAGGGGAGGGTTAGCCAGCCAGGATAACCCAGGGGAGGGTTAGCAACCCAGGGGAGGGTTAGCCAGCCAGGATAACCCAGGGGAGTGTTAGCAACCCAGGGGAGGGTTAGCAACCCTGGATAACCCAGGGGAGGGTTAGGAACCCAGGGGAAGGTTAGCCAGCCAGGGTAACCCAGGGGAGGGTTAGCCAGCCAGGATAACCCAGGGGAGTGTTAGCCAGCCAGGATAACCCAGGGGAGGGTTAGCAACCCAGGGGAGGGTTAGGAACCCAGGGGAAGGTTAGCCAGCCAGGGTAACCCAGAGGAGTGTTAGCCAGCCAGGATAACCCAGGGGAGTGTTAGCCAGTCAGGATAACCCAGGGGAGGGTTAGCAACCCAGGGAAGGGTTAGCCAGCCAGTATAACCCAGGGGAGGGTTAGCCAGCCAGGATAACCCAGGGGAGGGTTAGCCAACCAGGATAACCCAGGGGACTGTTAGCCAGCCAGGATAACCCAGGGGAGGGTTAGCAACCCAGGCTAGGGTTAGCCAGCCAGGATAACCCAGGGGAGTGTTAGCCAGCCAGGAAAGCCCAGGGGAGTGTTAGAGAGCTAGGATAACCCAGGGGAGTGTTAGCCACCCAGGATAACCCAGGGGAGTGTTAGCCAGCAGGATAACCCAGGGGAGTGTTAGCCAGCCAGGATAACCCAGGGGAGTGTTAGCCAGCCAGGATAACCCAGGGGAGGGTTAGCCAGCCAGGATAACCCAGGGGAGGGTTAGCCACCCAGGATAACCCAGAGGAGGGTTAGCAACCCAGGGGAAGGATAGCCACCCTGGATAACCCAGGGGAGGGTTAGCAACCCAGGGGAGGGTTAGCCACCTAGGATAACCCAGGGGAGGGTTAGCCAGCCAGGATAACCCAGGGGAGGGTTAGCAACCCAGGGGAGGGTTAGCCAGCCAGGATTACCCAGGGGAGTGTTAGCAACCCAGGGGAGGGTTAGCCACCCTGGATAACCCAGGGGAGGGTTACGAACCCAGGGGAAGGTTAGCCAGCCAGGATAACCCAGGGGAGGGTTAACAACCCAGGGGAAGGTTAGCCAGCCAGGGTAACCCAGGGGAGGGTTAGCCAGCCAGGATAACCCAGGGGAGTGTTAGCCAGCCAGGATAACCCAGGGGAGGGTTAGCAACCCAGGGGAAGGTTAGCCAGCCAGGGTAACCCAGGGGAAGGTTAGCCAGCCAGGATAACCCAGGGGAGGGTTAGCCAGCCAGGGTAACCCAGGGGAGGGTTAGCCAGCCAGGGTAACCCAGGGGAGGGTTAGCCAGCCAGGATAACCCAGGGGAGTGCTAGCCACCCAGGATAACCCAGGGGAGGGTTAGCAACCCAGGGGAGGGTTAGCCAGCCAGTATAACCCAGGGGAGGGTTAGCCAGCCAGGATAACCCAGGGGAGGGTTAGCCAGCCAGGATAACCCAGGGGACTGTTAGCCAGCCAGGATAACCCAGGGGAGGGTTAGCAACCCAGGCTAGGGTTAGCCAGCCAGGATAACCCAGGGGACTGTTAGCCAGCCAGGATAACCCAGGGGAGGGTTAGCAACCCAGGCTAGGGTTAGCCAGCCAGGATAACCCAGGGGAGTGTTAGTCAGCCAGGATAGCCCAGGGGAGTGTTAGAGAGCTAGGATAACCCAGGGGAGTGTTAGCCTCCCAGGATAACCCAGGGGAGTGTTAACCAGCAGGATAACCCAGGGGAGTGTTAGCCAGCCAGGATAACCCAGGGGAGTGTTAGCCAGCCAGGATAACCCAGGGGAGGGTTAGCCAGCCAGGATAACCCAGGGGAGAGTTAGCCAGCCAGGATAACCCAGGGGAGTGTTAGCCAGCCAGAATAACCCAGGGGAGTGTTAGCCAGCCAGGATAAACCAGGGGAGTGTTAGCCAGCCAGGATAACCCAGGGGAGTGTTAGCCACCCTGGATAACCCAGGGGAGGGCTAGCCACCCAGGATAACCCAGGGGAGTGTTAGCCACCCAGGATAACCCAGGGGAGGGCTAGCCACCCCGGATAACCCAGAGGAGGGTTAGCAACCCAGGGGAAGGATAGCCACCCTGGATAACCCAGGGGAGGGTTAGCAACCCAGGGGAGGGTTAGCAACCCAGGGGAGGGTTAGCCACCCAGGATAACCCAGGGGAGGGTTAGCCAGCCAGGATAACCCAGGGGAGGGTTAGCAACACAGGGGAGGGTTAGCCAGCCAGGATAACCAAGGGGAGTGTTAGCAACCCAGGGGAGGGTTAGCCACCCTGGATAACCCAGGGGAGGGTTAGGAACCCAGGGGAAGGTTAGCCAGCCAGGATAACCCAGGGGAGGGTTAACAACCCAGGGGAAGGTTAGCCAGCCAGGGTAACCCAGGGGAGGGTTAGCCAGCCAGGATAACCCAGGGGAGGGTTAGCAACCCAGGGGAGGGTTAGCAACCCAGGGGAAGGTTAGCCAGCCAGGGTAACCCAGGAGAAGGTTAGCCAGCCAGGATAACCCAGGGGAGGGTTAGCCAGCCAGGGTAACCCAGGGGAGGGTTAGCCAGCCAGGGTAACCCAGGTGAGGGTTAGCCAGCCAGGATAACCCAGGGGAGTGTTAGCCACCCAGGATAACCCAGGGGAGGGTTAGCAACCCAGGGGAGGGTTAGCCAGCCAGTATAACCCAGGGGAGGGTTAGCCAGCCAGGATAACCCAGGGGAGGGTTAGCCAGCCAGGATAACCCAGGGGACTGTTAGCCAGCCAGGATAACCCAGGGGAGGGTTAGCAACCCAGGCTAGGGTTAGCCAGCCAGGATAACCCAGGGGAGTGTTAGCCAGCCAGGATAGCCCAGGGGAGTGTTAGAGAGCTAGGATAACCCAGGGGAGTGTTAGCCACCCAGGATAACCCAGGGGAGTGTTAGCCAGCAGGATAACCCAGGGGAGTGTTAGCCAGCCAGGATAACCCAGGGGAGTGTTAGCCAGCCAGGATAACCCAGGGGATGGTTAGCCAGCCAGGATAACCCAGGGGAGTGTTAGCCAGCCAGGATAACCCAGGGGAGGGCTAGCCACCCAGGGGAGTTTTAGCCAGCCAGAATAACCCAGGGGAGTGTTAGCCAGCCAGGATAAACCAGGGGAGTGTTAGCCAGCCAGGATAACCCAGGGGAGTGTTAGCCACCCAGGATAACCCAGGGGAATGCTAGCCACCCAGGATAACCCAGGGGAGTGTTAGCCACCCAGGATAACCCAGGGGAGGGTTAGCCACCCAGGATGACCCAGGGGAGGGTTAGCCACCCAGGATAACCCAGGGGAGTGTTAGCCACCCAGGATAACCCAGGGGAGTGTTAGACACTCAGGATAACCCAGGGGAGTGTCAGCCACCCAGGATAACCCAGGGGAGGGTTAGCCAGCCAGGATAACCCAGGATAGGGTTAGCCACCCAGGATAACCCAGGGGAGGGTTAGCCACCCTGGATAACTCAGGGAAGGGTTAGCCAGCCAGGATAACCCAGGGGAGTGTTAGCCAGCCAGGATAAACCAGGGGAGTGTTAGCCAGCCAGGATAACCCAGGGGAGTGTTAGCCACCCAGGATAACCCAGGGGAGGGCTAGCCACCCAGGATAACCCAGGGGAGTGTTAGCCACCCAGGATAACCCAGGGGAGGGCTAGCCACCCAGGATAACCCAGGGGAGGGTTAGCCACCCAGGATGACCCAGGGGAGGGTTAGCCACCCAGGATAACCCAGGGGAGTGTTAGCCACCCAGGATAACCCATGGAAGTGTTAGCCAGCCAGGATAACCCAGGGGA